ATTTCCAGTGCACAAGGTTTGACCAATTTTTCAGCTATTGTATGAGGATTCTTCTCTTTGGCACATAAATATGCAAACTGATACGATGCTTGTAATAAGGCATCCTCATGAGACGCAACTCCRAGTGCCTTCAAGGTTTCTCTCTTATCAGATGGTGTTGGCACAGGCTTCAGGCCACTGAGATCATGTCCAGCTATACCACCATGCTGTCTGTTAAAATGGTCTGACAGTTTTGATGGCCTCAGGTCAGTATTTGAAAACACTGAGTTACACAACACACACTGTGGGCGTTGAGTTCCATCAGCCTCTGTTGTACAGGTGAACCAGTAACGGACATAGTCATCATCCCACTTGCGTTTCTTTGACATGGTACACAAGAATTCTCAGGTAKTATTCCAGAGATGCCACAGAAAATTGCTTTAGGAGTAAAATATAACCCATACATTAAAAAACATCAGTGGTTAACTGAAAACAAAGCTGCATCACATGCTATCCTGTACGTGTCAAGCAATATCCTATAATGTGTCAGCTGAAGGAAAGCCCTGAAAACAGGACAATCCACTTAAGGCAGCAACTCAGAGTTAACTGCCCTGGAATAAATGACCTGACAGCAAGTCATGCAGGGAGATATGGGCTTAGGCAAGTTATGAGGAATCCTTTACTGACAAATTGTGGTTATGGCTTAATTTGTTTTCAGTAAGGTTTATGATAAAAAGGTGGGGTTAATTTTTTATCACCTAGAAAAGGCACCTCATGAGGATGCTTGCTCCTTCCATCCTGACCCAAAGATGTTTGCACACCTTCAGTTAAGAACAGAGAAAAGGAGTAATTCACCAAGTGTTCAAAGCAAGGACAGATTTTGACATGGTGGCTAATGTTTCTTAATAGTTACAGATTAAACAAGTTTGTAAAACTATTTGATCCTTGGGCAGCTTTGACATCAACTTAAGCAGGCATTTCAAATAGGTTTTTAAGCCTGATGAAGTCTACCTTGACACAAAGGTGGGCTATGAAGATAGGCTTCCCTGATGTTAAGTGAAGTGTAACAAAATATTCATCGTTGATTCATATTATCCATATATAAAAGCAAAGCAACATGCTCCAGAGAAACACAACTATTCTAGTTAATGAGACTTTAGGAAAATCCCTCTCATGTGAGGACACTTTTAACTGCAAGGAATTTCATGGTGCTTTTCCATATAGCTACCCCTGMAGTAGAAGCAGTCAAAATAACAGGGTGTAAATAAGCAGCATTCCAAAGATTTGTCTTAAACCAAAGACAGGGTGTAGAAGGCCAGTGRCTCTCTATTGTAGTAAATGGAGAAATCATCTGGTTCATGGCTAAAATGAATATTCCTAGACCCTAACCCTAGAGATACTGATTCTCTAGCTCTAGAGTAGGGGTCTAGAATTTATATTCTAAATAAGCACTGCAGATAACAAAGAACAGTGATCGTAATGAGAGCTGCCCATCAATCACAGGGAATCCTTCTGAAAGTATACATGTCCCTAATTATTATTAGAATAATAACTGATCCCCTKCACAAGGAGAACAAAAGAAAATTAAATAAAGTTGTCTGGGTGATCCTGATGCACACTGGAGCAAGTACGCAGGTTTAGAAGAAAGAAAACATTTCCTTCAAGACAATCCCTGGCTCACATATATTCTAGGTTACCAAGTGAATAGTCTAACTGCTTTAATAGGCATTTAAGTTGTCTGAGTGGAGAACAACCACCTATGAAAGTGGAGAAACCTAAAAAAGGAAGTCATGCCTTTTTCCATTTCCTACTCTTAAGCAAATGAACAAAGGTCTCTGTAGGTAGGCTCAAAAAGACCTTGGAAAACAATTCTATCTCCACAATAAATAAATGATCCCTGAAGTTTTCAAAGTTCTAGGTCCCAGAATGTGGCTGAAATAACTTAATGGGGACACATTTAAACAGAAATGATCAATGTGGCCACAGAAAACATCACAATAAGAACAACTACTTAAAATAGTAGCTCTCTAGTGGATATGCCATGATTAATTGGCTGTAAAATGTACTTCTGTTACTAATAGGTTGACCTGTTATATGGTTGTTATGAATTGTTATGAATTGGGGGAAATCTACTGACTCTGAACTTCAAAAAAATTTGAAGTTCATAAGGCCTTATTTTATCAAGTAATGATATATATRACCACTTGTGTTTAGAAATACTTGCAAGTAATGATGATATCAGCATGAAAATGCCCAAGTTCCTGTATATCTGTAATATATATTTACTATGTATATTTGGAGAGGTGGAGGGAATAAGGAAAAAGCTTTGTTTTAGTCTTAGAAATCATTACTGAACCTGTTAAATCCATCTTATCTACCCTGACCATGCTACTCAAGCACATTTTAATTTAAGATATACCTGTTTTGAACAAAAGAGTTTTTAGAAAAATTCACTTATAGTCTTTTCTGTTCTCCTCAAATGGGAAAATAGGTAGCAAGAATTTTTAAGATCCTCAAAGATGAACTTACCGCCCAAGTGGCTTTCTTGCCTTTTAGAACCTCCCAATTTTCACTTGCTCCTTTGTGGTATTTAGGAATAACAATACCCTAAAAAATGTAAACATTAAGAAAACCATCATCATGAGGAATTATTAATTTAAACAGATGTGATGTTACTGTGGTTGTGTTAAAAAATTTTTCATTTGTTAGAGATACAGAATTATTAACAAGTGAAATGATATGTGGGATTGCCTCTGAAGTACTGTGCTTGAGCACATAAATATAGACATAAAGGGGGTAGAGATAAAAAGAAGTAAGACTGGCCTGGAGCAGATGATGTGTACACATCATACCACTCCCACTTTTATGTACGTTGGAAGTTTTCTGTAATAAAAAGTAACAAAAAAAATTTTAAAAAAGTAAAATAGACAAAAAAGAAAAACCCACATTATTTTAAGGAAGATATCATTTTCAAAATAGGTCTGAAAATCTTTTGGGCGCTATCTTAAGATGCTGAATGAATCTGATATAASAAAGTAAAATTTTTTTTTGCAAATTTAGGCACCATAAAAGTACCATAGTTAACACAAAAAATAATCTGCTAAAAGGGAACGTCCATGTAACAGAACTATTTAGGAAATGCTAAGATGTTATATATATAAATATTGCAGGCGTGAAAACCTTGAAGTAGAGTTGTAAGCCTGAACCACACACAATTCAGCTGGTATCCAGCCACTGCCTGTGCAAGTCCATGGTAGGAGCAGCGTTGGGGAGGCAGAGGGTGTAACCATATTTTACAGTTAAAAGCAACAGCCACAGCAGGGGCAGGATGTGGTGATTGCGCAGTTCCAGAGGCAGACGCCTGGGATCTTGGCTTTGTCACTTACAGGCTGGGACCTTTCCACTCCTCAAGTGRGTTGAACAGTACCTACCTTATAGGGCTGTTGGGAGGTTTAATTATGAGAATGCATGCAAAGAACACGCTGCTCCTAACTGACAGGGCCTGATGGTGTTATTAGGAGCGGAGTTTGGCGCAGGCCGAGGGCTACGGTCGCCAGCGAGGAAGGCGGGCTCGGCTCGGTCTCCACCCGCGGGTCTCCGAGCTCGAGGCGCAGGCCCGGGAGGATGCTCGGGCTTCGTTTTGGCGCCGTTCTAGGCTCCAGAGCCGCTCACTGTTCAGCCTGGGGCCAGGATGTCAGAGCCGGTCCAGGCGGCGGCTCCAAAGGTCAGACCCTCGAACGGGAACTTGAGGAGCGCCGCAGCCGGACGCTGCCGCAGGAATGCGGTTTCTGCCCGGCCGGGCTCCGTTCCATCCGGGTCCCGCGCCCTTCCCGCCCGCAGACTAGGCGCGGCGCCTCCCGCACGCAGGCGCAGTAGCGCGGCCGAGGACGGGAGTCTCTGTGGAGGGTGCATGCGCGCTGGCCCGCCGAAATTTTGTTACTGTGTGAGTGGAGCTGGAGAATTTTAATTGTGTTGTTCTGGGGATGAATTGTAGAATCTTAGGAATGGAGGGCACTTGGCTTTGTCCACATAGTTCCTCATTTTTACATTCAGAGAGCTGCAATGTTTTGAATTTGAAGTGATAATGCTCCAATATTTATCACTTTTTGGTGTCAGTGAGGAAAAAGAACAGTTCCTTGCATTTCCGCATCAGGCAAACTGGGCAGACCTGAAGTTCCATTAAGACGCACTGGAGGAGGAGCTTCCACAAGTGGTGCTTGCTGCCCATGTTGGTCACCTTTCCATCAGTGAATGTGGATGAATGTCTCATAAGTCCTCAATCCATTTTACAGATAAGATTATTTTATTTAAAATTCCTTTTAACAACATGATTTAAAAGTAATAAACCCATATTAAAATGATTTTAAAGAAAAACCCCGGTGTACAAACGAGAAAACATTATTGAAAAAGATAAACCCAAATATAGCCCTCTTTCTTATTTTTAGGCAATTTGCTTCCAAAATTCTTTTAAACTTAGTGAAATGTTTGTTTTTGTTTAGTTAGTCTTTGAAGCATTCCACATGGCTGGTTCATTTGAGGGGAAGAGTTAGGGGAGGCTGTTAAAGAATGTGGGATGTTAGAATGCTGGAATTTCTTAATATGAACTCATAAAACTAGCTCAGACTCCCTGCCAATAGTACAACCCATTTCTCAACCAAGTATTTGAGATAATACTACAAACCACTCAGTTTAGTGTTCTTAATTACATACCTTTATTAACAAAAAATACAAGACAGACACCAGTGTCAGACTTGATGTTGAACCACCCTAATAACGTAAGAATAGCAAAACAAAATTTTGACTATCTTAAGAATAAGATCTGCCTTGCTATTTTAATTTCAATTAGTTGGAATCTAGACACCATGTATATTCCTAGTATTTGCTAATTTGACTCAGCTGTTCTTCTAGAACTAAGAAGAGATTTCAACTTAACACAGTATATTACACACTTTTTTGGTAGTTTAGAAAGATGTTAAGTAGATGCATTTATGTCGGGGATTTTAGTCTGTTTTCACTGATTCTGCTCTATCAGCATTATTTTTATAAAGTGTCCTGGGGATCATAGTGATCTCAGTTACTAAGATCCATACAAGCTATCATTACAATTCTCTGAAGAAACCTCCAACTTCAGGTTTTGATCCCTGTAAATTTTACAAAGTGACACCTGCTAGCTATGAAGATTAGGTATCTCTCAGATATTCTGCACTCTCTTACAATCTAACTTAATATCATGATCATTACATAAAGGCATAATAAATAACAAAATATTACAAACCATATCTACTATGATAAATGAAAGAATTTCTGTTTTTCTAGTATTTTTCCAATAGTAGTAAAAGTACTATTATATTGACTCAAGAATGAGAAAATAGTGACCCAAAGACCAAGGTAAAAATAACTTTTTTCATTTCAGACCAGGAAAACCTGATAAGGTAAAAACAAGTGATTACAAAATAACTAATAACAGAGTTAAATTACAACTGTAATTGCTAGTCATTAAAAAAAAAATGAAGCCCTAGTTTTGAGAAAGAGTAACTAATCTACTTTCAATGTGTGTGCTAATACTAGACAGAAGGCCAAAAAAAATTGAGGAAACAGTTTGAGACTTAACTGTTAAGTACAAAACATTCTTGGTAAGTAGTGAAGGTTTTTCCATATCACTAATATAAAAATTAGACTATTTCCAATCTTACTCCACACTTAATGTACTTTCTGTTTGAGTTCTTCACTTCTTCAGTGTGGAAAAGAATGAATTTACTTTGGGACTTCTGAAAGCTTTATTAAAGTTAGTCAGCAAAGAAGAGTAGACAAGGATTTTTCCAGTCTACAATCATGAGCAAGAAGTTGAAAAGACTATGTCAGCTGAATCTATCCTGGATGAATTTCTACGACTAGTTACTGTCCAAGGAAAGAGGCCATGGGGTCATCTGGCCTCTGCCGTTTCATTCTGTAGGCCTCCATTTCCTCTTCGGTGGGTTCCCGAGTTTCATATATGCTATTGTAAGGCCGTTTCCTCTCATCAACCTGCATGATCTCCTTAACATGAAGAAGGCGGGCCTCTTCTGCATTCAGTGCCTGTGGTGAGAGGGAAAAAATTACTACCACAGTGCTATGTCARATCTCTTTTGTTCAAAAGTGGCAAAGTACCCAAGACCCCACTGAATCTGAAGAGCTATATAAAAAACATAGATTACCTAAAAAGGGCTTAGGAGTCAATTCTTCCACTGTGAAGCTACAACTAATCAGTATTTGACTCATATGACATTTTCATAGAGCACAAAACATTCTATGACATTTTAAATCAATGTTGAAGAAATTATATTTATAATAAAAATTGAACAGGGCTCATTTTTCTCAAAAGCCCACAGCTGATGCTTCTGGCAGAGAGTGTAAGTCCAATTTTTCTCCAGGACTTGCTGAAACTTACACATGATGGAACCAGAAGGCAATTCATTCTGGGCAATATTCCAATAACTCTAAAATAACAACTTTGCCAAGAACATTTCTTTGGTGAATAAGTAATATTTACCAAATATTCCAAGAAGGTGGCAATACCTAGAGCCACAGAATTGCCATTAATATGACCTGGGCATGTAACTCAGACTTTGGCTCATTTCCTCATTTTTAAAATGAACTTGCAAACAGGACTAGACCATTTCCTAAGTCCCTCAGATAAAGAATACTCTTATTTGTCACTTTGTACTTGGACTTAATGGAGTACCTTTTTCAATTTTTCATGTTTCTTTTCTTCATCCTCACTATCTGAGCTGCTCTTTCGGTGCTTCTTCTTTTTCTTTTTCTTCTTCTTTTTCTCTTCTTTTAGTTTTTCCTGATGCATCTGAAAGGGAAGATTAAAATTAGTGCTATTAGGGTGAAAACAAAGCTGTAGTACAATTTTAAAGTCCTCCTTTGAGGACTTAAAAATTTAGAACAAATGATTACAGACTTACTTCCATGAGGGTTTGAGGTTTTTTCACAGATTCTTCTCCACTTACATCATTTATAATACATTCTTCTGAATTCTGTGGGAAAACAAATGTAATGTGATTGAATGTTATAATTAGCAATCACTTAAGAACAAGTTAAAGGCTGGGGATATAGCTTCGTTGGTAGATAGAGTGCTTGCCTCGTATAAACAAGGCCCTGAGTTCAATCTCCAGCAATACACACACACACACACACACACACACACACGTTAAAAAATCTGAAACATGAGAGGACATGTTTTATGTGGGGTTTGAATTAAGAGCTTTGGCTGTCTTAAATATTTAAAAACAAGAAGAAAATTACTTACAACAATATCCTTTCCAGCTTCTCCAGTACAATAGGAAAACTTGAAAAAAGAGTGACAGCATTTGTATCCCCATCGGCCATCCTTCCAGTAAGATCCCCAGATATGCTGTGCAGAGAGAGAGAGAGAAAGGGGGAAGGGGGAGGGAGGAGAGAGGGAGATATTACTTTAGGGATTTTCATATACTGATAAGACAGCCCTTTTAAAGGTAATTTGGGAAAAATTTTGGGGGATTTCTGGCTAACAGAGGGCAGGCCAATCTCAAGTGCTGAGAAGCTAGCATTACAGTTACAATGGTCTTTAACTCAATTTTCAAAAGTCTATGAAAGAATTTAGGATATACAATTTCTGTAAAATTTAAGGCCTGGGAAATTCCGGGCCTACATTCCCACTTGGCAATAAGCTACTATTGCCAACAGTGAATGTGTTGTCCAGTTTGTACAATTTGCCTAGCTCACTTCAGTGGCCTGAGCTGCTACAGGTATTTAGGTTTTTGATCCCTGACTTAGAGACAAAATTATTGTCTGGTTATTTCAAGACTACAACAAACAGGTCTGAAGGGTGTAGGTTAGTGGTAAAGCATGTGCTTAGCATGCCCTAGGTTCAATCCTCAGTACCAAAAAAAAAAAAAAAAAAAAATGTATAGCAAATGACAATGTATGTTTTATGCAATGCAGTATGAAATATACTGCATAATCTATTACATATTCTTGTCAAAACATTTAACTTATATATAAATCAAGCTTTTGGACCTGAATTCTTATTTACAGGATATACAGAGAATTGAGGAATAAGTTATATAATACTACTAACAAACAGTCAAAATATAGAATATGAGTCAGTTTACATGATAATTGGCTAGATCTGGTAAGTTGACTTGATCTGGTCATTGTCAAGAAAACAGAGAGAAAGACTCTAGAATAAGACATAACAGTCAAATAATAAAACAAACTTCAACTAGATTCTGACTAAAATAGCTATTAAAAGCACTTCTGTGGGGCTGGGGATGTGGCTCAAGTGGTAGCACGCTAGCCTGGCATGCGTGCGGCCGGGGTTCGATCCTAAACACCACATACAAACAAAGATGTTGTGTCTGCCAAAAACTAAAAAATAAATGTAAAAATTCCCTCTCCCTCTCTCTTAAAAAAAAAAAAAAAAAAAAGCAAGCACTTCTGTGTATATCTTTTAAGAAGTGATTTAAGAACTAAATATGATAAGGGAAATAATCAATAAAATCAATAAACAGGAGAGACTCAAACAAAGTCTACTAATATCTTTAGCATATTGTAAAATGTGTTTTAAAAAAAGATGAGCTTTTGTAGCCTGTAGGAATGCTTATAAGATTCTTTCAGATTTTATGTATGTCTCAAATTTTTCATAATAAAGGTGGCAAAACAGAATACAACTAATAGCCTTTATTGGATCACTAACCTCCATATGTAGTAAATAAATGTCAGTATTATCTTTAGTACTTGTCATTTTCTTTGAACATGCAATATGAAAATAAACTAATAAAATAATGTGTGAAATGTCAYAGCTGCAATTTCCAAATGTTTCAAAAATTTACAAATATATAGTGTGTGTGTGTGATCAGTATATACACACACTTAGTCAAAAGTATTGACAACATGTTAAAAAATTTTGAATCTAGATGGGTATACAGGTGAATATTGTAGTATTCTTTCATATTATTCCTATTTTTTGGAAAAACTTCATAAAACTCACTGTAAGTGTTAAAGGACAAAGAGCATTGTGATGGATAGTAAATAAAGTTATAATAGAAAAATGCAATCCATAGCAAAACTACTATGGTAAATGGTTTAGTTTAATACATACTGTATGGTTGTGGATCTTTACATCCTCCTCATATTTGGAGCAGGCAACAGCTCGCTCTTGTCCTTTGATGACTGTACCATGTCTTGAGTATTCTACATAGTCTTCGGTCTGGGCTAAAAGCAATTCAGCTGGAGGAGCATCCAAGTGTTCTTGGCCACCATACTAAAAGAACATTGGACATTATTAAATACCTGTACACAAAGTTTGCATTCAATACTCTGGAAGGGTTTATTTTTCAACCACAAAGATTAAATGAGCATCCTTTCCTAGGTTTGTTATAGAGAACAGTGAAAAAAAAAGCCTCCAAGTTTTCACAAGCAAATAAAAGACATTTCGGTTCTTACTCATCTGTTAACTCTGGTAGATCACAAGATGGCCATAAGTCCCTCTTATCAGTATAGGCATGCTCCTGGCCTCATGACTTTGCTGGTCCTTTCATTAAGAGATGGAATCTGTTTCTCTATTCCTTAAATTTGGGCTTGGCCATGTTACTCTTGGTGATGGGAAGTTGGCAAATGTGAAGCAAAGGCTCTTGTGCACTGGAGCAAGTTTATTTTAAGCTACTAAGTTTTGGATGGCATGTTTTGCTGCAAAAGTTTACTGAAACAGAAAGTCTGTTCCAAGTGAATGTAAGGAAAGGACTCTATTTTTCATGGATTGAAAGAACTTCTTGAATGCTCTCTTTGTATCATATTCCAAATATAAAAATGAATACTTATTAATTAGTAACATCTCTTTAAGGATGCTTAAGCTCTTTAGCATTTTGGTCAAAATTACCTTTTCTAGGATGCTTTCTTTTTGCTGTTCTTTGAAGTCTTCCTTTTTGACTTTGAAGGACTTATACAACAGCTCTAGTTTTGTAGGATCTGCCTGTAGATGCACTTCAGATCCTTTGTCATAGGCTTCCCAAGCAAACACTAGAATAATTCAAAGCACCATAAATGAGTTGCCAGCTACATTTATTGCATATTTATTTTCTTTTCTGGTGCTGGGGAATGAACCCAGGGCCTTGCACATGCTAGGTAAGCACTTTACCAGTGAGTAATATCCCCAGCCCCTTATTGCATGTTTCTTTAAAGCAAGCTTTAAAACACCACCCTCAATTTCTTAGGAGCTCATATAAAATGCCTTGGCATACAGCAAACACTTACACTGTGTCTGAGCCATTGAGATGGTATCTCCTGTGTATCTAACAAAGTTATCTCCTGCATAACTCACTCTGTAAATACAAACAAAAAACCCGTTTCAGGGATTGTTTTAAGGAATGTTAATTCATAAAATTGATTCTAAATTAAAATGAGCACCATCTATAGTTGTGTCAGAAAGTAATTAATTTTCTATTATCTTGAAATCTGTAAATTAATTTGATACTTACTCATCTGGATTCTTTCCAGCGTTGGCATAAGGATTCTCTCTCATTGCTCTAGTTTTTGGATCATAGTAGGCAGAATTTGGATCTAAATTTCTCAAGTACTAGGAGAAAAAGTATTTAAATAATGAATTATTTAGAGCAAACAAGATTTCAGCAGGTAGGAAGAGTTGATCAAGATCATTTAAATGTGTGTGTATACTTCCAGGGTATAGGTGAAGAGAAAAAAAAAAACAGACTGATATCCCATCTTGGCAAAATTCTTTGACTACGTTACCCAATTAACACCCAGATATGAACAGTATGAACAATATGAACAGATACAGTTTCGGCTGGGAAAACAGTATTTTTCAAACACGTATATTAGGTTGGCAAGACTTACTTTTGCAATATCTTCTCGAATCCTGAGATTCCGGACAGTAATTCGTCTCTTAGAGTCAAAATTCTGTCCTGGCATGTCAATATCATCTGCATATTTGTCTTCATCCTCATCTTCACTGTTGTGATCTTTTTCCTGAGAGGGAACAAGAAAATTCAGTTAAAAAAGAGTGGCATTTAGTTTCTTACTTTTCTTTTAGTCAAATCTTTATTCTTTTGTTATTTAGAAGCTATTAGTGAGCTGGGTGCAGTGGCATAAGCCTGTAATTCCAGGGGCTAGGGAGGCTGAGGCAGGAGGGTCATGAGTTCAAAGCTAGACTTAGCAATTTAGCAAGGCCTTAAGCAACTTGAAGAGACCCTGTCTCTAAATAATATATAAAAAGGGCTTGGAATGTGGCTCAGTGGTTAAATGCCTCTGAGTTCAATCCCTGCTTAAAAAAAAAAAGGCAAACTATTAATGGTTATATGATATTAATACTAGTCATTGAAAACAAAGAAAGTTAATCTATACTTAGAAAGGCCAATAATTTATTACCATTTGAGAATTTGGTTCCTCTTCTCCCCACTGGTGTTTTGGAGAATTCTGCATTGTGAAAAACGGAAAAGCATTGTAATTTTATTCCACAATCTGTTGATTATTTAAACCCTCTAAGTAGGTCTTTTTTTTTGTACTGGGGATTGAACCCAGGGCCTTATTTAACACTTCAAAAACATAATTACAATAGTTTGGAGCTAGGAGTGTCATTCCATGGTACAGTGCTTGCGGAGCATTCACAGGGCCCTGGGTTTAATCCCTAGTACTGCTAAAAAACAAAAATTCGCCACAAAACCCCTAACTGAACAGATTTTCACATTTCTTACTTGTAATGAGCTCAGATATCCTGAATACAAGTATGTCATTATGAATAGTTACTTTTACTAGCTTGTCTACAAAACCAGATTTCTATAGAATTTTTATCTATATAGGATTATAATCACACAAAGGTAGATCAGATGACTAAATTACCCAATAAGTACAATTTCTTTTCTTTTTGTTCTCACATGTATTATTTTTATTAAAAATAAAATGCAAACAAAAGCAACACATATACATAACAGGGAAAAGTGACATAGAAATAAACAAAAGCATCCAAGAGATAACTGATATAATATCCTGAAATAGATTCTTCCTGGAAATTTGTAAAACACAGATGAATGTACTTTTAAATGCTCATAAAATCTCACAAAACCAATAAGTATAATTTCAATATGTGTTAGTCTTCAGACATAAATGTTCATAAACCTCACTTGTTTTCTATCAAGCCCAGAAAGAAAATGTGACTAGACTCTTGTAATAAGAATCCTCAGAGCCAAAACCAACTTTTGTAAAATTTTGGCAAAGCAATCTCACTCAGGTGAAACAATACTGTGATTTAGGGACAGTCCAAAATTCTTGTCAGGAAGGATTAGCAACTGCTCAGTGTGCTAACTCTACAAAATGCCTATAGCATGGTCAGTATATCATCATGTTTCTCTAATGAGGCTTTAAAGATTAAAAAAGAAGATAGCATTAGTGAGGGAATGTGGAAACAGATGTGCACACATGTGCATGAATATGCATGTACACACACATACTGATGGGAGTATAAATCTGCATAGCCTTTCTGAATGGAAGATGAGTCATGTCATTAAAATTTTAAAATGCAAGCATTCACTGCACTGATAATTACAATTCTAGGAATTTATCCTAAGGAAATGATGTGTTAAATTGTGTAAAGATGTTTTGTATAAGCATGTGATTTAAAAAAAAAAAAGAATGTGATTTTTGTGTGGAGTATATTTACTAAGAAATTAGGAAAAAGTAAATTAACAATAGATGATTGGTAACATAAATTTACCGTGCTCAATGGAACATTGAACAACTACTAAGAGAGTCTATGTAAGGTGAAGAAAACCATAAATAATTTGCTAGTTTTCTCATGGAAAAAAGAAGGAAAAAAAGAGGAAAATAAATTATATATTTGAAAAAAATTATCTATTTATATTTATACAAGAAACTCTGAGAAACCAAAAAAAAAAAAAAAAAAGTTCTCGGGGAGGGTTTAGAGATAGGATGGGTGCAGGGTGGCAATTTTTTCACTGCATATCTTTTTAAATTGTTTTTATTTTTGAATCATATGAATTTATGTAAAAATAAATGGTGTCATATGTCTAGATTTAATGACACAGAAAACAAAGCCTTCATTATACTATATACTTTTAATAAATAAATATGTAAAGGTGAATTCATTAAAAACATAATTATATACATTACAGAGATATATTTGGGAGGAGAGCAAATATAGCTCAGTGGTAGAACACAGCATGCTTGGTGTGGGCAAAGCTCTGAGTTTGAGCCCCAGCACTGCAAAAACCCAAACCCCATATTAACACAGGGGTTATTTACTTTCTTCTTTATAATCTTCTAATTTTTCTCACTTAATATGTTATATTTTCAAAATCAGATATGTGAATGTTTTTAAAAGATAATCTTTTTGGAGTTCCCACTAGTTATTTAAATAAGACATTTACACTACTATATGCAGTTCATCTTAATATGCAGACACCCAAATGGGGAAAAAAAATTATCAGACCCCTTCATATTTTTCAGTACCTTTACTGAATTATATGCTTACAATTACAGAGAATATGTTTCCATAACAAGCGAAACAGACCCTTTTCCTTTCCCCAGAGTTGGTAATAATGAACAATAATCATAACAATACAACAATTATAATACTTCATAACAGTCAACAATTACAAAGGGTTTTTTGTGATATGTAGGTTAAGTATGGGGCAGGCAGGTGGGGTGTATGTGTTATCATTATCTCTATTTTAGTATTCTACTGAGGTTCAGAGAAGTAAGTTACTTTTTCTAAGAGCAGGTTGCTAGCCAGGGACAGAGGTAGAATTTAAATGCCTATCTGATAAGTTATTTTGCCTTAATAATTGTCTACCAGTAATTACTTCCTGAGTTGTGTTTGCTTTGCAACTCATACATGCTAAGAATCCCTTTTAGAAACTTAGTCAACAACTCTAAATGTTTATTATTTGTGGCATTTTCCACTTATGACATGATACTGGAGTTTTAGATTTTAGATTCTGGATTTTTGGATTAGTGATGCTTAAACTATACTGTATTTCTCTCTCCCAAATGTCTTTTTAAACAAGAGATATATACAATTCTTAAGTCAAATTCCATTTCATTGTTTAAAAGAGTTTGAATATTTTTAAAAATTTTTTTTACTTACAGCTTGTTCCACTAGTTTTCCTGAGGCTAATTCTTCTTGCAGTTTCTGGGCTTTCAAAGTTCGTTTGGCCTTAAAAAAAAGAAAGAAACATTTTAAACTAGGCCTGACTCTCTAAAGGGGACAAATTACAAACTCCTATTTGAACCAGGAGTCAGCTGAGCAGATGGCACTACTGGTAAACTGAAAGTTCTGACCAAAACGGGCATATTGTAGGCAACTCCAGACAACTGAATGACTCTTGTCAGACAGTTCCTGAATTATCATGTTTCAGGTGTTCACAAAAAGATAAGCTGGTTGTGGTGGAGCACACTAGTAATACAAGAGATTCAGGAGACTGAGGCAGGAGGATCTCAAGATCAAAGGTGGTCTCAGTGATTTAGATCCTGTCTCAACATAAAATATAAAAAGGACTGGGGATGTAGCTCCATGGTAAAGCACCTCCAAGTTCAATCTCCAATACAAAAAAAAAAAAAAAAAAAGTCCATATTTTTATGTGAAATCTCATATGATACTTAAATACCTTTAATTAAAAAAATTAATTACGTTTAATTTTAAAAAAAGGCAGTGTTGCCTATCGTTTGAAGGAATGGGGGTAAGTAGGTAAAAAAATCACAATAAAAAACCAAGTTTGAATTAAAAGTTATAAAAGAATAAAATAAAATTTGTCTATTCTACAACCATCCCTAAATGTTATGTGATAGAATTATAATATAATAGACGTATGGGCCAGCTACAGCCTAGGGGCCCAGAGTTCAGAATGCTTAAACCTGAAAAAACCAAAAACTTTGGATGTCATATTGTTCTCATGTTTCCAGTATCCTTTGCTATATAAGTTGTGAGTGAAGGACAATAAAAGAATCAAGTAAGAAGAAACTGCTGCCAAATACAGCTACGATTCATTTATTTTCACTATTCAATAAGGCACCATTTTTTATAGCGCTTTAAGATTTGAAAAATAGAGTTTTTAAGTCAGAGACATGACAAAATGTACATTATTTAAGGACAGTAGACAAGCAGGGAATGTTGCTCACCAGATCAACTTTGGCATATTCTTCCACAATTTTCATGTGTTCTTCTGGATTATAGCCATTCCACCGATCTCTTTTTCCATCATAGTCAAACATCAGTTGAGGCTGGACATGTTCATCTGGAGCTATATTAGTACCTGTAAATTTGGCACCAACTCGCCTAGGTCTCTGGAAAGTAGAAGATTTATTTATTTTTTTGTAAATATTTGTAGCCCAGAGGAAAAGTTTATATAACCTTTACAGAGTAGATATGAATAGTCTATTCTAATTGAATAGTTTTCTAACAGAAAATCTTGATGGTGCTGGACTAATTTTGCTCAAAATAATTTTAACTTGCACCAAAATATAGGAAAACTTAGAATATAAGTTCTAACAAGCTAAAAAAGACTCTGACATCAGTTTTCCAAAATTCTTAAAGATGAACTTACCTCAAAGCAGTCTTTCTTTTTGTGTGTCATGGCCCCACAATTTTCACATGCTCCTTTGCGGTACTTAGTAGTTATGGAATTCTATACAAATGTTAAGAAAACAAAGCATGTGTTTTATTTATATGCATAAGTTTAAAAATAACTTGGTTATCATGACTATCTTGTCAAGACACATTTCTGAAAAACTTTTTTAGTTGTTGATTGACCTTTGTTTATTTATATGTGGTGCTAAGAATCAAGCCAGTGCCTCACACATGCTAGGTAAGTGCTCCATCACTGAGCTATGACCCCAGCCCGAAATAATATGTTATGAAGAAAAATCTGTTAAGTCTTCACACATTTATAAATGAAAAAGTCTAAGGATTTCAGCAATAAGAAAATACAGCAGCTAAAGTAGTACACATTGTGAATTTCATACCAGATAAAGAGTTACATAATCTTTCCACTTTATTTAGTATTACATTAAAGGTTCTTATATGAAGTTCCTTTTTTTTTTTCTTGTATTGAGGATTGAACTCAGGGGTACTTGACCACTGAGCCACATCCCCAGCCTTATTTTGTATTTTATTTAGAGACAGGGTCTCACTGAGTTGCTTAGCGTCCCACTTTTGTGGCTGGCTTTGAACTTGCGATCCTCCTGCCTCAGCCTCCCCGTTTATATTAAGTTCTTAAAATAAAATCTTCATATCCATGAGGACACACATAGATTGCCTACATACCTCTTTTACTCCCCTCTTATACCATTCCCCAGATGAGCTGAATTGCTTTTGTTTCTCTGGTTGTGGTCTCTGATGCTTTAAAGTAGGTCTTTTTGATGGATCAATATACCATGGCACTGAAGAAATATACTGAGGAATATGAGGGTTGATGTCTCTGTAATAAAATTTTTTAAAAATTTAAGAATAAAGTTTGAAAATAGTATTACAATTACAAAGGTAACTTACACAGACTCTATGAATAGAAATATTGCAGTGGAAGGGGGAAGAGAATATGGTGCTGTCTCTATAGTAAAGCACAGAGAACAAAAAAAAAAAAAAAAAAAAAGAAGAAAGTAATTTATGTTACATTGAAAAAATTTCCAATCAAGATACTAAGGATAGTGATATGCTGAAGAGGAGGAGAAAGGGAGGAAGGTAGAAATGTGACTTAAATGTTCTATCAGAGAAAGAAGTTAAAAGAAAATATCTAGTTAACTGATTAAAATAATCAAGATGCTTAGCATTTATGTCATAAATGCTATAAATGGTTTCCTGTCAAAAGATTAGATAAAAATTTGAATTTAATAATGAATAGATCATGAAAAAAATTACTCACTTTCCCTCTTCATCAACTTCTGCTGGAGCATTACCCAGTTTTCGCTGTTCTTCTAGCTCCTTCTTCTTTCTCCAGTCCTCTCGAGTCATCTTCTTTGGTTCTTCCAAATTCATTTCTTTGGACCCCGATAGGGGTGCAGCATTAACCGTGTCCACAGCTGCGGCCGACATGATGACCTGGCCTCCCCAAAGGAAGAAAGGAGAGTCCTTTACAGAAGGAAGTAGGCCTTCATAAATTCATCACTGAAACCAGTAAAAACACATCGTAACAACACATACCATTGATTATATATGTTTCATATTCCTATTCTTTCATAGTATCTGTGAAAGGTCTCTTTCTATGCCTCAAAAGTCTCGACATACTCTTAGCACTGTTTCTTTCCCAACTCTAATTTACAAATGGAGGGAGACACATATTTAAAATTTCATGGGACTCTTTTCCTCTTATGTACATTCATGAATTGCCCTTTCCAGCATGTGTCCCAAACTTGGTAACCATAGTAACTCCTAAAGTATACAGGGTTCCATCCCTCTTTCAAGAAAAAAATGCCTCTTCACGTCTCTATTTCCTCACCTTCTGCTTCCCTTCTCACTCTCACTTAGCCTCTGTCCCCAATCATTCCAATGAAAGAGTTAGTTATTGATGTTCAATGTACTAAATTAACTAGACATTTTTCAGTTTTTTATATATTTTTATTCCTTGGTTTCTATACTACATTCTATGTTTTTTTTCCTGTACTTCTCTCATTGCTTTCTTTGTTCCCTTAAAGGCTCATTCTTTACTGCCCAGTTATTTAATGTTAGTTTCCTCAAGTCTCAGTCAAAGCCTCCTTCATTACTCTACACAAAAGCAGAGGCACCTAAACTCAATATACCTTAATTCAAACTCCTGATCTTCCCTCTAAAATACAGTCTCCTCTCACTGTGTACTATTTCAGTGAAAGACAATAACATTCATTTCTTTTCTTTCCTTAGTTTTAAAGAAAATTTTTATTTGTTCTTTTTAGACATACATGACAGTAAAATGTATATTGACATATTATACATCCATGGAGTCTAACTTCCCATTCTTGTGGTTRTACATGATGGCACCAACCATTTCTTTATATAAGTGTTCCAGCTTATCTACATATCTATTTCATTACTAAGATTACTTTCACTTTCTGAATATCACTGAAATGCATCTACTTCTCTCCATTCTCAATACTACCACCTTATTATATATTATTACTTTTTGACTTGTTGGTCAGCTGATTTCTTCCAATTAATTCCCCATGATGGAGATAGTTTAATTTTTCAGAACACAAATTTGATAATATCATGTCCTTTTATCCAAATGTAACCCTCCAATGCATCATTATCCAAAAGAAATTTAATAACAACCTCATACATAATTATCTTTTCCACTAACTATATTAAAAATTAGAGAGTAAAATTACTTTTATATGRTTTTATTGAACCCAATGTATCCAACCATTATAATTTCATATGCCAATCAACATTAAAAAAATCAATTCAGTTTGCAAAGCTGATATGGACTTTACTTTTATTTGGACTAGTCATATTTCCAGTCTCAATGTCGCACAAGTAGCCAGTAACTGTCATATTGAACAACACAGCTTAAAAGGTTCTTATCATCTATTCTAAAAATCAACATCTTTTTAGCACATATGGTTCAGTACCTGTCTACCTTCCAGCCTGTATTAGCTTTTCATCCCAGTTACCAAAATACCTGACAAGAACAACTTAAGAGGAGAAAACACTGCGCTTTTACACATGCTCTTTCTTAATAAGAAGTGCTCTGTGGCTAGGAGTCTATGATGCTGCTGAAAGGTGTGATCCTCTCCTGTATCTAGTCCAAAGAAAACCTCCACAGATACTTGTGCAATATATTAATTGATGACAGTCTAAGTGTACACTGAGATGAAAACCAGTGGTAGATTTGATTATCTTCACTTTAACAGCTACCATTTCTTGAGCTTATCAGGCATGATCTCAACTAATCTTTTCAACCCCACTTTATAGTGAAGAAACAAATTCTGAAAGACTAAGACTCTCCACCAAGGACACATGCAAGGAAGAGACAAAGATCTCAAACCCAGGCCTGTCTGATTCCAATGTCAGTTCTAACCTCTTCACAGGCAGGGGCTTCCGGGCCTGCAACGTTGAAAGCTGTAACTGAATGAATAAAGTTGTATTTATCAGATGCCCTCGCTGGGGAGGGGCCCACTTTCTCCAGTTAAAAACAAGAGCTCCGACTGACAGAGTAGTCTTACTCCTACAGTGTAAGAGTGCTTAGAACTTTACATAGACCATCGCATTAAGCCTCATAATAGCACAAGAAAGTAAGATCCTCCCTACCTAATGAGAAAATTGAAGCTCAAAGAAATTCTTCTGGAGTAAACAGTCAGCTTGGGGAAAGGACCACTCAAGATACCCGAAACAAAAAGGCACTCGCCGTTACCCCGACTCTCTGCTTGGTGTTGCTCGACACTGATGTCAGGCCTGCGTCCCAGCCTAACAGTGGGTTCCCCGTCCTGGCTCCCCCATCACCCCCGTGAAAATACATCTAAAGATCAGGAGCCCTGCCCACCCATTTTCTGAGGTTTCCTAGCTCTTTGCCACTCCTACCTCACCTCCCTCAAAGCTTCAGAATATTTCCTTACCCGGTCTGGCCGCAGCCTACCCCACAACCATCCGATAGAAACGAAACTAGTCCGGCAATGTTTACTTCCGGGCTTCCTGCCTCCTCCCGGCAGTCACTGCGGTAATTTCCGGACTACCGACACATGCTCACTGACAAGTACTTGCCACGGGTGTCGCGAGACTTGAGCTGTGACTTTTTCATCTGGTTATCCTAGGCAGTTTGATAACTTCTGGCTGTGCAGCTTTTCCACTCTTTCTGGAAATCCTTGTTCCTATTAGAATCGCAGTATGGTAGGAGGCAAAAACCTCCCGAAATTTAGTACCTRAAACAAGCAACAGCTTAAAACTCGCTAGAGGGCTGTTTAATGAATAGGGAAGTTTGTGACGTATGAACTAAAGCAATTAAATTACTAGTAATTAGTAGCCAGCCAATGTAGCACGCTAGGGATGTGTGTGAACACAAAGTGTCTTTCCTGGAGTTTGCACCATACAGAGTGAGAAAGACCCTAATCATTCAAATAATTCTCAGTTGGAAGAAGCCGCTAGAAAAATATCAGGAGCTACGAGATGGAATGTTTTGGTAATTATGTCACGTCGACCTGAAGTGAACTTGCATTTTATTATGAGAAAACAAAAAATACTATAAAATATTTTTTTTTTGCTTTGGAAACTAATAGCATTTATAATATTCCTATCCTCCTTGGGAAGTAATCATGTGTGGTGTTTGTCTTTAAAAAAAAAAWTTTTTTTTGCCGTATTGGGGATCAAACCCAGGGCATAAAGCCTGGTAGGTAAGTCCTCTCTGTACCAGAGATGCACCCCCAAATAGAAAGTATACATATAAAATAAAAAAAACTGGGAAATAAGCAATAATTTTGGTTACAGAATTTCCTGTCATTTAAGTGTGCTGCCTCTTCTGAAAGTTTATCCCCTGATCCCATGCGTGTATGCGTTTTCAAATGTGAGAGTTAAAATATCTGCCTCGATAGAATCCCCTCCCACCCAACCCCCTTTAAAAAATAATTTGTATTAAGGAATGTAAACATTAACTTTTATTTTATAATGCTGCATATAAAGGAAGACTGCTTATTCCAGTGGGGCTAGGCTTTCAGATGATCTCCATTCTTTTTTTCCAAGCCTACCAAATTTTTACAGTATTTGAAAATAAGTAGAAATAAATAGAAATGGAAATATATATTTTATTTTCAATCCTTTCTACAGTGTCAACTGAATAAAAAAGACCGCAAAACAATAAAACAGTGACATTGGGTCAGTACGTTAGTCCACACAGCTCAACGTTATGGAGAGCAAAAAGCCTCCCAGGTTTTTTTTTTTTTTCCCTTGGTAGGAAAGGAATCACAGACTTCCGGAGAAAGAGCTTTTGGGCGGGTCCTGGCAGTGTGATTTCCTCTCATTGGTTCTTTTTTACAGACTCCGCCTCAGGCCCCGCCTCCTCGCGGAAAAGCCAATTGAATCGCGAGTTGTGTTTTAAACCGCGGGCGTGAGGCGTCTCTGGCCGCGCGGCTTTGGGTGAGTTTGTTGGGAACGGCGTGAAGGACCCGGGTTCAGCGGTGTGAAGGCGGAGTGGTGTCGGGCTGGGAGCTGGGGCCGTGTGCCCGTGACTCCGGTGACTCCGATGCCGGTGCAGTAGGGACCTTGGGCTGAGTCCTGGGCGCACGGGATTCTCTTCTAATGAGAGCCTGTCCCAAACAGCCTGTTTAGACCTCAGAGCCTCTGACTCGGTCTTAAGTTCCTGGTGGCTCAAGGCTCTTGTTTTTGTCCGGACGTCCCCTGGGCAGAAAGTTTGATCTGTGCTATACCTTTGCTTTTCTCTCCTTCCCCAGTTCCCGGTTTCTCATACGTACATTTCATCCCTAGAGCAATCCAGAATGGCTACTGTGATATTTGTTGATAAGGAAAATGGAGAACCTTGTACCCGTGTGGCTCCTAAGGAGGTGCTGAAGCGGGGGCCTGGGCCTGGTGAGTATATAAGGCTGCAGTTGGACACTAAGGTTTTATGGATGTGGCCTGGACCCAGTTGAGCATTTAGTGTAGTTCGTAGGCTCTAGTCATTTAAATACTCAGTATGTGTGTCCCCCCCCCCCCCCCCCCCGTGTTAGGGATACAACCCAGGGCCTCCACATACTAAGTAAGCTCACTACCAGAATCACACTTCAGCCCTTGTTCTCAGGATGTTAATGAGATGACTTGAAGAGTATTGAACCTCAATACTTTCAGTACTTGTGATATGCTCTTAGTTACTACCAAAAATGAGGGTCAGCTTTAGGGGTAAGAATTAGGGCAAGTTTATATAAAGAGCATTGGAGTTACAAAGGAATTCACTGGTCTAATCTTATGGTGATACTTTTTCTTTGCTAGTTAAAGCCTTAGATGGGAGGTCTCAGGTTTCAACACCACTTGTTGGCAAAACGTTTCATGCTCCACCAGCCCCTAAAACTGTCAGAAAGGCTTTGGGAACTGTCAACAGAGCGACAGAAAAGACAGTAAAGACCAATGCACCCCTCAAACAAAAACAACCAACCTTCCCTGCCAAAAAGGTAAGTATTGGCTATGAAGGTATTGTTTAAATTTCAGCACTTTTGGCTCTGAAAATGACTGTTGCATCCTACTTGGCTGTTTTCCCCCTAAGTAGAAGGGAAATGCAGATTAGTAAACATGAGCAGAGTAGAATCATATTTTACTTCTCTGTATCTTTTTTTTTTWAATATATTTTTTAGTTGTAGATGAACACACAGTACCTTTATTTTTATGTGGTGCTGAGGATCAAACCCAGTGCCTCACACATGTGAGGCAAGCGCTTTACCACTGAGCTACAGCCCCAGCCCACTTCTCTGTATCTTTAACTAGAAGTAGCTAATGTGTAATTTCACCTCACCTGACCTAAACTGGTATCTGGCAGTAGGTTGGTTTGTATTATCTAATTAAAGTACATAAAATACTGAGAGGATGCCTGATGATCTTATTCAGGTGCTACCAACATTTTCCCTACCTCCCAGAGAAAGCACCAGCTTGTTAGGGGACCATTTATTTGCTAGCATGCTGATCTTTTTATGTGGTCACAAGGTACAGGACATTGTATCCCAGACTGAGAGGACTTTGTTGTGAAAGATGAGTTTAGCATATGGATTAACACCTTGAATACTTATTTAATGTGTTTTAGAAGCGGGTTACATCAAACCTGTGACATACATGTAGTGCAGCTTAGGACAGGGGTGTCTGTTTAAAAAAAAAGAAAATGTTAAATGCAGATATTGCAGTGAAATGGGAAGAATGAGACTGTTACCCAGAACTGAAATGTGGGAAACCTGTGAGAGATTTCCTCTAGGTATGCACATATGAAGTAAGGTAAATCAAGAATACTGAAGCTTCCATTTGTTTTACTAAGTCAATGTCTACTTGTTTTTCAAAAGTCCTAGACTATCACTTGCTACCTCTTAACTGTGTTTGAGGAAGACACACTTGTTAATATTAACCCAGCAAATAATTAACGTAACAGTGGTGTGAAAAAAAATCACACTTCTATAAATCAAAAATGACTTTGAGGATTAGCTACTATTCTCAGCACTAATACTCAATTTTTCCTCGGTTAGGTTTGGATAATTGAGTAGATAAGCTCTAAATTAAGTTATGTTAACCGGTGCTAATAATAAAAGTCTTCAACTTTTGAGCCAGGTTACTAGAACTGTTTGAATTATATATATTTAGATTGTTTGGGGGTATAATCATGAAAACTAAGGATTATAGCTTCATATGAAATTGGCAAATTTGAAAGTGTGGTGAAGTAATATGTTTGAAGAGGCCTTACCATCTTTTGTGCTGTTTGTTTGACAAGACTTCCATTCTTGCTAACACATTTTCTTGGGTTATTTTAGATGACCGAGAAGACTGCTAAAGCAAAAAGCTCTGTTCCTGCCTCCGATGAGACCTATCCAGAAATAGAAAACTTCTTTCCCTTCAATCCTTTAGGTAGTATCTTTTGGTATGGCAAAAATTGCTTTTGATCTCTGGTTTCTCTTGTAAATTCAACTCAGCTGTAACTTGTGACTACAGTATATAACCCTAGACTGTAATGAGACTGACCAAACCTGGGTTGCTTAGAATAAATATACTGGTTTAGGTGGAATCATTCGCGAGGTATCACCTTTGTCGGGAGGGGAATGGGAGCAAAGGTGTAGGATGTTGTTCCTTTTCTCAAAAGTATAGTGCCTAGGGGAGGTGTGCCCGATATTGAGCAAGTGCCAGTGTGGACTGTCTGACTAGAAAGCTGTTTCAGGGTGTGCAAAGAGCCCTTGTATCAAATTAAGCAATRCCTGAGAGTACCTTGGTTGGTTAATTATTTCTAGGTTTAAAAAAAAAAAACCTCTTCAGCTAGTGAAAACATTTTAAAAAAATTCCTTCAATCAGCTGTATATATCTGAAATAACTTCCATCATAGGACCAGCTTTTCAGGCTTTCATTTACTCCTCCAGTTGAGGAGAGGTTTCTGTGTCAAACATTATTAGGGTTTGGATGCAGTGGTTAGCCTGGTACATGGGGCCCTGCCACGAGGGAGCCCATAGTTCAGCAGGAAAGGCAGTCGTTGACCAGATAATCTCACTGAGTGAACAAGAAAGTGTTGTAGATCAAGTGTGCAAAGAGCCAAGGTAGGGAAAAGGACTGATGTGTTCTGGGGAATGAAAGGTAAGTGAAGCATGGGGGCAGGTCTGGCAGGGTCTTATAGAATTTTTTTTTTTTTAAACTGGGCATTGAGCCTATGGGTGCTTTACCACTGAGCTACCTCTCCAGTCCTTTTTCAAATTATTTTTACTTTGAGACAGAGTCTATTAATTTGCTGAGGCTAGCCTTGTTATTCTTCTGCCTCAGACCACACAAGTCTTTGGTATTTCAGGTGTTCCCTATTGTACCTGGTGAGGGCCACAGAGATTTCTGATCCAGATTTCTAGCCCCTTTAACCAAATGGCTTTTAGTAATATTTTACTAACACATTCAGATTGTTACGGCTTTTTATATGAGACAATTGTGCAGTTAGTATTCTTGGAATTATGTTGTGATTTTTGCCCATCTCGAGGGTTAACTTTGAGAATGTTTGCTGAGTTGGGCAGGGGGGATTAAGTTTTGATAAAATGTAGTATATTCATGCTAATGATTGCCATTTAGTCATTAAGGAAAATGAGGTAGATTTTATATGTATAGACCAGGAAGGAGGACCACAGCAAGCTGTATTTGAGGAAAGATGTTGCCAAGTAGTCCTGCATATTTTTGACAGTTTTTGGAATTTTCTGTTTGTATTCATTATCCTTTGGTTATGTGACTTTCTTACTGATTTACTTATTTTAAAAAGAGCTCTTTGGGGATAAAATTAACCCTGTAATACTGCAGACTTATTTCCTCTGGAGTCTTTTTTGGGGGGGAAAGGGGGGAGGGCTRCCTGGAATTGAATTGGACACTCAGCCACATCCCCAGCCCTATTTTTTTTTTTAATGTCTTTTAAAGCTTTTATTGATGTGCTGAGGATCAAACCTAGTGCCTCCCACATGCTAGGCAAATGCTCTACCACTGGGCTATAACCCCAGTCCCCTATTTAGTATTTTATGTAGAGACAGGGTCTCACTGATTTGCTTAGTGCCTCACTTTTGCTGAGGCTGGCTTTGAACTCAATCCTCCTGCCTCAGCCTCCCGGGCTGCTGGAATTACAGGCGTGTGCCACTATACCTGGTTTTCCTATAGAGTCTTTTGTCTATTTATGGTTTTCTTTATAATTCTGTGGTTTTAAATTGTAGTCGTATCACTCAATATCTTTTTGACATCTGGGTTTTATCAGCCTTGAAAAAGAGCAGACGAATTCCCAAGGACCTAGGTTTTCAGAGCCCTTTCACAGCTAAGTACAAAGATGAGAACAACCACTTTCTGATCTTTTGGGAGAACACTTAACCTCTATGAAAAGGAAAACTCAAAACACTATTTCAATCAAACTTCTCTTGCTGTCAAGAGAAATTGATTGTTTTAGATAATTCTTAAGAAGTAAGGCACTTGGGTTATAGGACAGAAAGTTACCTAATACGTGGTTCTTTTTTGGTCTCGGGACCCTTTTAAGGTTTTAGAAATTGAAAATCCCCAAAATTTTCTGCTTATGTATCCTGTTTATATTTCCTATATTAGAAATTAAAACTAAGACATTCTAAGAATATTAATTTGTTAAATAATTAACTAATAAATTAACATAAGACAAGTTTCCAAACAGATCTAGTGATAAGAATGGTATAGTTTATATTTTTGAAAATTTGCTTAATTGGACTTAATAAGACAATTGAATTCTTGTCAAATTCTTTAATCTGTTGCATCTGTTTTAGCTAAGGCAAATTAAGAACATCAGGCCTCATGCAGATGTAGAGTTAGGAAAGGGGGAGTATAAGTCTTATCAGATGAATGTCAATGGTTTTCTTATGTTCCTCTCTAAAACAAGTGGCTGTATCTGAACATATAATTGCAATGTAGAGTCTTACATTTTAATTTTTAATTACAACTGAGACCATTACCAGTAAACATTGTGTATTCTGATAGTATATTACTTTGATGTAGCACTATATTTTCTGTCTTTGCATTTATTATGCATTGATCACTTAGAAATATTGGTTCATTGAGAGGTAAATATCTAATGTTTAATGTTTCATCATTTAACATCAAAAACCCATTAATAATTACTGTTGCTCTCATCAGAAAAGTATTAGCTAATGATAGCATGACAGTGTGAAAAACTTATTTTGCAAACTATTGCAAATAAGTTTTCCACAGTTGTCAATTTTTTCTTGATGCTCTTGAATTTTGTTATTGGCACAGACTGTTTTCTTTGAAGTGTGATAGATATCCTTCATTCCTTTGAGAAAGTGTGTGACAGATACCCAAGTTTGAATGACCATAGTTGTTCCTTTGTTCTTTGAAGTGAAAATGTTTCCAGAGAAGGTCTTCTAGTTTATCTTGCAACTCAAATAATCACACAAATTCTTTTATTGGAGATAATCCTCAGCTGGGTGTGGTGGCACACACCTGTAATTGCAGCGACTGGGGAGGCTGAGGAAGGAGGATCAAAAGTTTGGGGCCAGCCTGGGCAATTTGGTGAGATAATGTCTTAAGATGAAAAGGCCTAGGGATGTAGCTTAGGGGTAGAGTATCCCTGAGTTCAATCCCCAGTACCAGGCAGGGGAGGAAATCATTCCTTGGTGTATGACAAATATTTCATGACACATTTTTCATTCTGTCACACGGAATCTTAAGATCTCTTTTTAAGAGTTGAGTGAATGAGATTATACTTGTTAATCTCTATGGTGAAGTAACTTTTTTTTTAAAATTACAACTGAATAATGGTGAAGAGTGTAGTGACTACTAATGTAGTTCATTGCCAATGCCTTGATGTGTGCTAAGGCATCAGCAGGTCTATCCACCATTGCTTTAATACCGACCATGCAGATGTCAACAGTGGAAAAGGTATTAACCTTGTTAGGTAGTTTTGACCTCGTGGATCCTCTGAAAGGTTCTCTGACCTCCAGCATTTTGCTGACCACTGAGATCTGCTGTCCTGATGAGAAGATGCTTTCCCTCTGACAGATTTTGAGAGTTTTGACCTGCCTGAGGAGCATCAGATTGCTCACCTCCCCTTGAGTGGAGTGCCTCTCATGATCCTTGACGAGGAGAGAGGACTTGAAAAGCTGTTGCAGCTGGGCCCCCCTTCGCCTGTGAAGATGCCGTCGTCACCATGGGCATCTGGTAAGTGAAAAGGTGCCCTCTTGAAGGCTAAAAACGGCCTGTTTCATAACAACATCCATTACTGTGGGGACAAGAGTTATGCAGAAGGGGAAGCCTATGGGTAATTTCTATGCTTTAAGGTGAAAATTGCAGAAACCTGAAAACTCTTCTCAGTTGATATTTTGTACTTTAGTCCCTAATGCCTTGGCCAAGTGAAGTGATTCTGAAATATAATCAGTCTTAGATATTGCAAAAGTATTCAATTTAACGTGTAGCTTCTTAGGCCGTAAGTCGAAGTGTATACAAAACTTGTATGGAGAGAACTCCAGTGACATCCACACTAATAAAGGATTGAGACCCACTGTGCTCTAGCATAGAATGACACTATTTTGTTACTGCCCAAGGTTTGAGGTCTTAGTTTGCGTGGTCAGAAGCCATCCTCACTGTGCTTCCTGTTTGTCCCTATGTTTGTCCTGTTTTATCATTTGTTAGGCTGCTAGCTCTTACTCTAAGAAGAGTTGAGATTCAGGTACTTCTAAGACATATCCTGATAAAGGTCAATTCTGGGACCATAGCTGCATATTAAGAAGTGTGTGTGAGGTGGGGTTGCAGGTAGGGATTCATTAGACAAAAAATATGAGTTCATGACTAAAAGTGACAGCTAGTCTGTTGATTTGGACAACTCAAGGTTTACAGAAATTTAATGAGAACTTCCTCTTTTGTAGATCCGCTGCAGTCCCCTTCAAGCATTCTGTCAACCCTGGATGTGGAATTGCCACCCGTTTGTTATGACATGGATATTTAAATTTCTTAGTGCTTTGTAGTTTGTTTGTGTTAATAAAGCATTTGTTTAACAGGCTCTAATTTTGTGATTGGTATTGGAATTTACTTAAAGCAATACAAGAACTAAGAACTAGGCTGAAGTGTTTAACAGACCAGAGTCTATAATCTGAAAAGGAGGATTTGTCTGATTTGTAAAATCTTACCTTAAAACCCTATGGTTTGTTTTAACAGCTTATTTTAGAAGCTGCCACTATTTTCCTGACGAATATACCCTTCAATGTGTACTTTATTGCTTTTTTTGTGGCCATTAACTAGTAACAGTTATTAGATCTCTTAATTAGAAGAGCCACTTCCAGCTCATTAGGTATTTATTGCTAGGCATTCTTTATTGCTGGTTCTATTTAGTTTCTAATGACTTTAATACCCAGTATTCAGTAATCAGACTTTGAAAACCTTTATACACTTCAACCTCCTTGGGATCTTGGATTCTTTAAAGATCACTACAGATAAGTTACCCATAGTAAATCTGCTCTGTACCTGTAAGAAACTGTATTYAGCTGTTTATCTTCTTTGGAAATTAAGTATTTGATAAGTATTGTTTGATATTTTTTTCAGATGAGGATAGTGAGGCTTAGATCACTGATTTGCCAAAGGTGAGAAGAGCTAGAACATGATAGAGCTGATATTTTTGTTACTGAATGAGCCCTGTTTTGCTGCTCTTCCACATGGTATGCTAAACACTGAATCAGTTTTGCCAAAGAGTTTGTTTTGTTTTTTTGGTACTAGGGATTGAACCCAGGGGTGCTTACTTCTGAGYTATATCCCTAGCCCATTTAATTTTTCTACTTCCATACAAGGTATCACTAAGCTGCTCAGTTCAGTCTCAATCCTTCTGCCTCAGCCTCCKGAGTCACTGGGATTACTAGTGTGTGCCACCACATGGAACTACAAATGTTTTTCATGAGGTGGGAATCCTAAGTCTCAAATCTGCCTCCTGGAAGATAGGAAATACGGGTCTTTATGGGATGTGGCCAATGGAGAGATTGAAATGTTATTTCCTTCAGAGTCCTTCCTATTACGTGCTTCTCTAATGTTATACTTCAATGTTAGTGAAGGAGCAGAACTTGCCACTAGCAGTGTCATAACCAGCAGTGTCACAGGGTGGCCTGTGGTGGGGGAGAAGGTGACTGGAGATGGGGAAAGTGAAGGAATTGACCTGTGCACCAGCAGTCCAACCTGATTGCTCTTCATAAGACCAATATTCAAAAATGGCAGCATGAGTATGATCCAGGTGGAACTTTAAGTCCTTTCATGTCCAAGGTTGCCTGCTGGACACCTGTGCAGGCCCAAGAGAAGGTCTGTGGTTCCAGTGGGTTTGAAACACAAGAGGCCTCCCAAGATTCTGAAACGGCTTAAACCATCATTGCCAAGGTTATGATACCCCAGAGGTATTATCTACGGTAAATCTAATGGGGTGTACTGCTCAGTGACTTGACCTGTGAAGTTGATGAAAGTGCAGCTAGGGGTTTGCCCAGATTTTCCCTGTTTCATTTTGATTCTCTCTGGTCATGGAATCAAAATAGAGGTTGTAAATGGTTGTCTGTGGATTTTTGTTTGCTTTTTGGGTAGGAGGTACTTGATAGTTTTGAAAATGTATCATTTCCACCATTTAAACTTCCAGTTGTTTCTCTTATCTGTGATTGTGGAAGGTCTTTTTTTTTTTTTTTTTTGAGAATTTTTTAATATTTATTTTTTAGTTATCGGCGGACACAATATCTTTGTGGTGCTGAGGATTGAACCCGGGCGGCACGCATGCCAGGCGAGCGCTCTACCACTTGAGCCATATCCCCAGCCCCAAATTTTTTAATATTTATACTTTTTTTAGTTCTCGGCAGACACAACATCTTTATTGGTGTATGGTGCTGAGGATCGAACCCGGGCCGCACGCATGCCAGGCGAGCGCGCTACCRCTGAGCCACATCCCCAACGCCTGTGGAAGGTCTTGGCAAAGCAGATCTGGTRATAGTAGTTGGTTTTCAACCCTTGCAGAGCTGGTGGCAGAATGCTGGCGTCTCTGAGGTGGGGTATGGGCCTTCTATCCTACAGACCCTACTTCAAAGGGCCCTGAAGGGGAACTGAAGCAATCTTTCTGTTCTCTTTTTGGACCTAGCCTCAGCTCGCTTCCCTTGCTTGGATCATGGAATTACTTGAATCTGCTTGATGCTTAGCCATGTGGGGAGCCTTTCCCCTGGAACCTTTGTAGCAGCAACAGTCAGGTTAGAATGGGARACTTTCCAAGCCTTTCATTGCCATTGTTATTGGAAGAAGCTGAAAGGTATTAGGCATGAAATACTAGGAACACCTGCAGCCACTGATCCTGACTTTAAAACTGTCTACCCTCTAAACACAACTGAACCAGTCTACATTTCTGGTATTAGTAGAAAGGAGAACTAAGAAGAGAATATAGTAAGACTCCTAGGACACTGGGTTTCAGTGGGAATTATTAGATCTAATATCCTCAGGTATCAGAGTCACTGTGAAAAGCAAAGTAATTTTGAATGACTTTCATGTTCAAACAGAAACTTCTGAAAATTATCTCTTGGGAATGGAAGGAACCAAAGGCTGGGAGCAAGAGAACTAGTTAGTCCTGAAATGATTAATTGCTGTCCTCTGGGTCAACACTGAGCATGGGGCGATTTGATCTTTTCCTCTGCTAGTCAGACTTCAATACATTTACTGTGTGTTGAGACTTTGAGAACTTTAAGCAGATGCTCCATGAATACTGGTAATTTTTATCTTTGGATTTTTGCTGTCTTAAATTCTGGCATCTGTTAGCAAAAAGAAAACTTTTTCCTACTTTTATTGTTTAAACTTCTGCCCACCACCACTGCCTCCTTGCTATCCTCCCTAATAGAGGGTATCGTTAAGAGGAATGTCTCACTACTATTTATTCTGCAGATCTGCACCTTGCATCAGAGCGTCCCTCCTCTCACAGGTCAGTCCCTTCACAGGTACTCTGGGTTGCCACCTCCTTGCTTTATCTCCTTCACTAAAAATTCTTCCTTGCCTCCACATACTTCTCTAGCTATGGACATTCCCACCTCACTCAAATGTCATATTATAGGAGCTCAGTCTTGTCATCTTGACTCTGCAAACTCCCTGTGTGATCATGTCTATTGTGGCTCAAAATACCACCTATGTGCTGATGACATCACATTCCTGCATCTAACCCAGGTCTCTCCCCTGACACCATGTCCTCCTCTGTAGTTGCTTACTTGTGATCTCATCAATTATATCTAAACTGGAATTCTTCATTCTTCCCTCCCATATCTGCCCTGTGTGAGCTTTCTGTACTTCAATAAATGGCATTTACTCCTGTCACAAACATRGGCGTATCCTTGTCACTTCTTCCTATCCTTGTCCATCTTTTTTCACATCCATTCTAAAACCAGGACTGGGGCTGGTGTGGTAGTTCATGCCTATAATCCCAGCTTCTTGGGATGCTGAGGGAGAAGGATCACGAGTTCAAGGCCAGCCTGGGCAACTTAGACCCTGTCTCAATAAAGAGTGGGAATGTAGATTAGTGGTAGAGAGTTCCTGAGTTCAGTGTCCACTTTGGCAAAATGAATAAAAACCTGGTCTGATGGGTCTGCTTCTGGTATATATTCTTAGTTACTCGCTTCTGTCCATTTGTCACATGCAAACTGTCATCTTGAATGACCAAAACCTTCTAGCTGGTCATTTGCTTCTGCCATTCCCCTTCCTGCCCATGCTTTCTCCATTAACAAGAATGATATTTTAAGCCAGGCGCAGGCCTGTAGTCCCAGCAGCTCGGGAGGCTGAGGCAGGAGGATCACAAGTTCAAAGCCAGCTTCAGCAATGGTGAGGTGCTAAGCAACTCAGTGAGGCCCTTTCTCTAAATAAAATACAAAATAGGGCTGGGGATGTGGCTCAGTGGTTGAGTGCCCCGAGTTTAATCCCTAGTACCCACTCGCCCCCMATTTTTTTTTAATATGTAAAAACAATTGTTGGTTCCCTCTTCAAAGCCTGCTAGTCCATTCACATTGTGCCCAGGATAAACTTTGAACTCTTCTGGCCCTGTCTGGCACTCAACTGTCACCTCTTTCATGCTTATTCTCTGCAGAAGTCAGCTGCAACAGCCTCCAGTACTTGAGTGCGTGGCCCCTCCATGGGACACATGGGTGGCTTCACAGGGTGGCCTCCCCAGTTGCATTTATTGCTCGGGCTGTCTTGCCCATCTCTGATTCCATGTGAGGCAGTTGGTGCCCTCTGCATCTAGAGTAGAGGACAAGCTTGCTTTCCTCACCTGGGTCTCACCTTCTGGTCGTCTTTGGCTCACCGCACACCTGACCTGCACTGCCACTTCTCACATGTTTCAAAAAGGCCTGATTCTGCCCAGCTCTACTGTGACTGTTTCAGACTTTCATTTCTTACCTGTGCTGTCAGAATATTAACATACTTTAATAGATACCCCCCAACCCACCCTCCAGATGGCAGCYGGATGAGCTTTCCAATTGAGCAAATGTGATGGTGTCACTTAAATTTCAGAGGTTGTTTTCATCTGTAGAATTTTGGCTTGGGTCTGTCTTATATTTTCCATGTCTCTACTTAATATTTAACACATGTTTTCAAAATCTTTTAATGTCCTTGTCTGCTCAGCTTAACATCTGGCTCAGTTCTGGGTTGGGTTTTCTTTTTTTATCATGGGTGGTTTTCGTACTTGCATGAATTTTACTGTTTTTTTTTTCTTTTTTCTGTGCTGGATATATTCACATTTCTGCAAATATGTCTAAACTTTGTCCTGGAGTATGGTTTAAGTTACTTGGAAGCAATTTGATTTGAGTCTTGCCTGTAAGGCTTGTTAGCCACACCAGTGGAGCTTTTAGCCTGTGGCTAATTTGTCCCTACTACTTGGGTATAAGACTCTTGGGACTCTAAGCACTGCTCCGTGAATTATGAGGCTTTATACAATCTGGCTGGTGGAACAGACACTGTCTGTGGCCTTATGAGAGCTCCAGGTGTTCTCCCCGATCCTTTTGGCTCATTTTCTCACATGCC